TTTTAGCAGAAAAAAGACCATTTTCAGAAACAAATTGATTAAATTAGAGCACAAGGCTAACGTTGCCTAAAATTGATATAGATATGAATGTTTATATATACAAAATACATTCAGTGTGTTAATATCTTATTTTGACATAGGTTGTGTTCCATATTATTTCTATATAGATATATGAAGATGTGGTATGAGTGCCAATGAGACAACTCTCCATCCAAGTCAAAATTTATAAAAGTAAACCAATATAGGTCAAAGTACGGTCTTCAACACGGAGCCTTGGCTCATACCTAACAGCAAGCTATAAAGGGCCCCAAAAATTACTAGTGTAAGACCATTCAAACGGGAAAACCAACGGTAAAATCTATATAAAAAACGAGAAACGAGAAACACTTATGAACCACATCAACAAACGACAACTACTGAACATCAGATTCCTGACTTAGGACAGGTGCAAACAATTGCAGCGGGTTTAAACGCTTTAATGGTACCAAACCTTCACCCTTATCTGAAACAATAGTGTAATATCACAACATAGAAAGACACACTATAAAATATCAATTAAAATGGCTTTACTCAATCAAAAGACATATTAACACCAGTGAACATACACTGAACAAATAAATTTGATCTATGATACAATGTTAATACAAAATAAATAAACTAAGGGAAGAATAATTAAAGTAACATGTTATACCGCTGTGAAATGTTAAACAATTTAAGAAAAACAATATGCTTGAACAAAAATATCAACCATTTACAATTAGTTTAAACACAGGTAAATGAAAATAATTTTGTTGTTAGGTATACGTGTACAGTTCAAATAGAGAAAGGAAATATTTTTATAAAATAAATAATGTTGATGTTCATAGTACAAAGAAGTGAAAATTTATAGTAAAACCAAACACTTATCAAAGCTGGTATATAGACCAGATATAACCCTGAATAACATTAAATAACAAAAAAGCATTACAATTAGTATCAACAGGTCAAATGGATAAGGAAGTACGATTTTAGAGTACTCGCAGTTACTGACAGCTAGTTAAAAGCCAAAAACAATTAATAATAAAAAAAAAAAATTCATGCATCAGAGACTAAAATCAACTAAAAACCATATTCCAGGGATTTAGAATTTTAACTTCATGGACAGTCAAAGAAGACATGACTTGTGCAATGCCAAAAATAAATGTATCGACAGGCAGTAGGATAGTTAGGAGTTAACCTCTTTATAGATCAAAATGAACGTGGGTGTGTCTTTATACATCCCATTTGAAAAGAATACAAATTTAGTTATGTATTAATTTGCTGATGACAAAATCGATATTAGTGCCAATGTAAACTATATTCAAAGATCTAATTACAACATTGGTAAGATAACCTTTACTAATAAGTTTGTTTAAAGGTTCGATGAGTTTACACGGATCACATAGTGATTTCCGCGCTTTCAGTACATTTACAATATAACCGTAAAATTTAGGATGTGAAATACCGTTTTTAATCAGTTTTCAGGTACAGCCAATTTTACTAATCAAATCTTTGTATCTATGAAAGAATTAAGTAAACGTTTTACGTAATTAATGGTAACGAAATCCCTGACTTAATAATTTACCAGTGATGCATTGATTACGTTCGTTAAAATCTATGACATCACTACCCACAAGGGCATAACGAACGAGTTGGGATATATCAACACCGTATGATGGAGTAAAAGGAACATCGCCGTCTAAAAAAGGAAAATTAACAATAGGGAATGACAAGTCGTCTCTTTTGTCGTAAATTTTAGTATGGAGTTTTCCTTTAGAGATTGAATTGTCCAAATCTAGAAAAGGATAACTACTGCTGTTTATGTTAGACTTAGTTAAAGTAAGTTCTTTTGGGTAAATTTCGGTAGTATATTTAGAGAATAGTGGATTATTTAACGAAAAAAAATTATCTAGATAACGGAAGGTATTGTTGAATGTATCAACCAAATGTAACAATGACGTGTCTTTACTGAGTTTGGTCATAAACTGAGATTCATAGCAATACAGGAATACATCTGCTATTAAAGGGGCGCAGTTTGTGCCCATAGGAATAACTACTAATTGTCGATACACTTTATCACCGAAACGTACATATATGTTGTCCTGGAGAAAATTTAAAGCTTCAATCATATTCACATTTCCAGTAAGTGTATCTAGCATACTTTCCTTTTTCGTTACAGAAAAAGGCTTTAAACGAGTTACGCATGTGCAAGTAAAATTGTCAAGATTTTGTGTATATTCGCCATTCTGCTGAATTTTCCGTCTTTTTATGGCTGTATGACCCATGCAAAAAGTTATATAGATATCTGATTCTGTAGATCAGCGAAAGTTAGAAATAAATCTGATTTTTGCGTCAATTTGGCCCCAAATAAAGGCAACAGTAGTATACCGGTGTTCAAAAGTCATAAATCGATTTAGAGAAAACAAATCATACCTTCGTCTTTATGCTATCAAAACGTCACAGGCTTCGGCCGCTATAATGTTATAAATAATCGAAATAAACAATATCCTATTGTTGAAGGTTGTATGTTGACCTCTATATATTTTTGTCATTGGGTTGTTGTCTCATTGACTCATACTTCATATGTCTTCCAACTCATCTTTAACGATCTACCCTCGATTTCTCCAATATATCTAGATGTATCTCTATTACACCATCATCACGCCAATAATACAGAAATTAGTTTTGTATAGAGAGACGATTTTAAGAAATTATCTTATATAGATGTATAAAGTTACACCCCACCAAGTCAAACAAACAAAACTAACTCACATTTTTAGTAAATGATATTTGTAGTGTTTTTTTTCCAGATTTTTTAGCTCAATTAGTCAAATGTCTTCTGTCTTGATTTTGGCTTTTTTAGTTGTTCATTTTGTTAGAATATTTTTTAGATTAAGAACAAGCACATCTGACATCAATATACATGTCCTCGGTACATATTTCAGAAATCCGTCATGCAATATCAAAAGTAGGTTATGTAAGTATATCAATAAAATGTTTAACCCCGCCGCATGTTTGCGCCTGTCCCAAGTCAGGAGCCTCTGGCCTTTGTTAGTCTAGTATGTTTTTTAATTTTAGTTCATTTATATGTTTTGGAGTTTAGTGTGACGTCCATTTTCACTGAACTAGTACACAATTTTATTTAGGGGCCAGTTGAGGACCACCTCCGGGTGCGGGATTTTCTCGCTGCATTGAAGACCCATTGGTGGCCTTCGGCTGTTGTCTGCTTTTGGTCGGGTTGTTGTCTCTTTGACATATTCCCCATTTCCATTCCCAATTTTATTAAATAGAAGTTTAGATTTAAGATTGTTGACGTAAGGTTGGTGTGTCATGCATTTTTAAAAATATCTAGTGATAAACAGAAAGAGCAAATATTTTTTTGATTTATCGATTACACTACTTATGATTTTCCAATTAAATTAAATCTGACTTGGAGAAGTTTGTATTCACCGAGACCAATGGCCGAGATTAATATCACATCTTTGTGGTGATAAATCATTATGATAATTAACTAATATCAAATTAGTTTTTGTCAGTTTTTGACCAAGCTCCAATGTTCTAGTATTGATTTGATCAAGATTGTTTTATTATAATGAAATAATTGATAAGCCTACCATGTTTTGTGTACTGTTTTATTTTCATTTTTTTTTAGATTTATCGTTCATCCAATAAAAGCATTTCATTTATACATAATTCTTAGATAACTCACACAAATTTCCCATTACTATAATTAGGTACCTGACGTCAGCTGTTTCAAATCTAATATTAGCCTCTCATGATTTTTCACGCTTTACAAAAGTATATAATCATTCATTGTACAAATTTAGAAATGATATAATTTGGTTCAAAAATCGAAAATCCATACTTGATGATTGTGGTTTGTCATCTGTACGGAATATCCAGTACAGTATTTTATAAGTGATTCATGGCCATATACTGTGACCAAACAAGATAGGAATAGACATGGCACACTGATGTTAAAGAATCAACAAAATCACTTAACTGTCATATAGTATTATTTTATAAAAGCAATAGACTTATTATAACTTTATGTAGGCTTAGAACGGTAAATCATAAGTTGTATATTGAGACTGGTAGGTGGCAAAATATTGCAAGAGAAATTAGAAAATATTTTCTTTGTTACTCTGGAGACATCGGATAATAATTTCATATTTTCCCCCTGCATGTTCTGTACTTGATAATGACAGTAGACAGTTATAGAAACCAACCAAAATACGTTGAAATATAATGAACTGATGGACAACAAAAATCTATCTGATATGGATGCACATTATTGTTAGTTTCTCAGAAGCTTCATACATTAAGGGATTGTTAGGAATTGGAGATTTGTACGATCGAACACACGGACACTCTATGTATATAGCCAAATATTTTTCCTAAACGAATGTTTAAATCCGCAGTTTCGTATTGACACAGTGATATAGTTCAAATAAAGTATGACTAGTTCATAATCATACATGGATTAGAATCACCCATTTTATTAAATATAATCATGATCGGATTACATTTGAAAATTTTCACTTTGATTTTCCAACATTTGTAAAATACACATGATCATCAAGGACCACGTGATGATTTATAGACCAGAGAACAGGATTTATAAATCGATAAACTTCGGCTGCATAACCTTGCAAAATGTCAATAGTTCAAAAGACAAACTGAAGAAGAGACTATATTTCGATAATGTTAAGAGTGAAAAATACCTAATCAGCTTATAAAATATTCATGAGATAATATTAAAATTAAGTTATAGAAAGCAAAACTATGCATAAATTAAAAAAACAAAAACAAAAACAAACTTAAAACAGTGGAACAGAAATTTTTAATCGTTTGACCTTATACACCCAACCTTAGATAGACTAGCTATACCACACGTATCTTAATTTTATTTAAATCTCATAAAGTATAGTAACCTTTAAAAATATACCTGGGTGACCTCATAGTATGACCCTATTCAAACACATACCATTTTGATTTCAAAGATAGAATGATGTAATGACATTTGGGAATTTTTCAAGTTAAATCTATAAAGGACATTAGCAGTAAGTCAACATCAGTTTCCCAAGATATTTCGTAAGTACTGTTACAATAATAAGGTACTATGTTCGTAAAGTGCAAAGGACGACAGGTAGCCTATTGCAATGTCTACACAAGGGTCAAACGTAGATACATGAACCTAACCTATGGTGGTTTATTATACTGTAAACCAACTTATTTTCGCGGATACTTTATTTCGCGTTTAGCCTTTACTTGTCCATTTCGGGGCGATTTAATTTGGCGATTTTCAAATTTGCTTGATGTAGTTAAATGAGGAAAGATCCAAGTTTTACATATTCGCGACGATTTATATTCGTGTTATTTTTCTACTCGCGAAAGACGCGAAAATAAATCGCTCGCGAAAATTAGTTGGTTTACAGTATTTCGTGTAATTCTATATAACATTTATTTATTTCAATGACCTGTCTGTTCAGTAAAATGTAATTGTCTGATCCACAAAATGTTATATGTGAAAAGTTTCAAGAAAAGGGAAATTTAAATAGTAGAACAGAAAAAGTAAAGTGTAAATCATTTTATGATGTAAACATTATTAATATAGATTATGTGATACTTTTTTCAGGAGAGCATTAGACTTCGACGATAAACAAAGCCTTCTTATGTTTCACTAATTGCAGATAATTTGTGGAACAAAAACAAATGTTCCGACCACTATTTGTTAACGAAATCCCTTAGTAGAATTATTTGTAAATCGTATCTTAATAAATAATCCTGTCGTAAAAAGTTACTTTGAGAAAAATCAAATACATTTTCCATACTGAGCTGTAATAGGACGTTCAATGTCCAGTAATTTCAGTTACTGTTTGCATTACACAACAACAAAAATATCTCGAAACAATTACTTTATTTGATGAAAGGATTTATTAAGTACTGATAATTAAATATTTAAAAGTAAGAATATCTTATTCAACTAACCGTTTTTGACTGATTTTTACATAAACCTATACATAAAATGATAATAGTAATGTTCGATAGGGAAAACTAAGTTTGTAGCTTGACATTCATATAAATAATGACTGTTTATGCCCCCGCGACCTAATGTCGAGGGCCATAATAATTTACTCCTGTATGTCCAGATATAGGTACACGGTTTGTCTTACTATCTTCTCCTACAGATTTTTGAGCTACAGTTTTAATATTTTGTAGGATTTTTCTTCACACAATAGAGGTGTGCACGTCCACATGATTTAGTTTTTTCAAATATTCTTAAAATGCCAGGTATTTGGACTTAGTCATGTCTAGTACTAGATACTTAAAGAGAACATGGTTTGTTCGGCTACACCCCCACCCCACCCCTTTCTAGTTGTTGAGCTACAAATGTACAGCTTTAACATTTTGTAGGTTATTTGTACGCATAATGGAAGTGTGCATGTCCATAGGATTTTTTTTTTTTTTTCAAATAATCTTAAAATGCCAGGTATTTTGGTACTAAAAGGACATTACATCACATATTCGGAAGTTTTGATCGGCAGATTATGTCCTATTTGTGCTGTAACGTCATTTTCCCCCTCAAATTTCCAATATTCTTTTAAATCTTTTAGACTAGATAACTTTGGCCGCAACAATTGAAAAACATATTGTGTCTGTGGATTAAATACAAAATCTTGACACCTTATGTATGGTTACTGATAATTTTTTATCGTAGAATGCTGCCAAGGTTTTAATTTTCTGAAAGGTTTATGTTCGAAAACGTACAAAATATGAAGTTGTATTGACAACATCTCTGTATAAATTTTGCTGAGTTTTAAGCCTGAATTGACTTTTATGAAGAATTTGTTTTAACAAGTGTTGAGTCTTTTCAAATAGACGAATTTAAGAACCAAAGTGTGACCTCTTGATATTCTATGATTGAAATTTAATGTCATACTTTGACAAAAAGTAAAATAAAAATACCGAATCCATGATTGAAATTCAATGTCATACTTGTCAAATTGACAAAAAGTAAAATAACAGGGAAAAAAAACTAACTACAAGACAAGTCAAAACGGAAAGTGCCATAACAAATTGCTCGATAACATCAAACGAATTTAGAACAACTGTCATATTACTGACTTGGTACAGGCATTTCTTCATATTAAAATTGGTGGATTAAACCTGGTATTATAGCTCGCTAAACCTCTCGCATGTCTGACAGTCTCGTGAAATTCCTTTAGTTTAGCAACAATGTGTGAGCAAACGTAACAGACATAATAGGAAAAAAGATCAAACATTGTAATGCAGCAGTCAACATTGTGTTATAATCTTAATCACTATAAAACAAACAATCATGTCAACAAAGAAAAAAGAATGGCACGTAGACAGTCTATAGACAAAGCACATAAGCAAAAATGAAAGACAAGAATACAAAAAATGACCATAGCACAATAACACAATGGCGGAATGTATAAATACCTAGTCACGCCTAAAGGATATTACCAAAAATGGACTAAACAGTACATGTTAAAAATATACAAAGACAAATAAAAAGAATATTATAAAACGTAATTCAGATGATAAACAGCGTCAGTACCTAGAATCTATACATTAAGACCATCATGTATTATTTGTGAAGTTTAGACGCAGTATTTATCAACAAGGCCTTAGTATCTTTCGAAAAACGTTTTTAGAAAAAGGACGAGACTACAAGTCGTATTGCCAGAGACTGACAAGTTTTTACTTCTGTATGCCACTGATGCTACAAATCAAATGTCTACTCATGTTGACGATAGAAATAATAATCAGGTCACATAACTTATTATTTGTCTTACTGGCTGTGTTTGGATATACGCCTAAGGCAGCCTATGGTTACCCATAGGTATCTTTGGGTACCAATGGTTTGATATTTTGATATATAGAATATCAAACCAAAGGTACCCATGGATAACCATAGGCCACCTCTGGCGTATATCCAAACACAGCCACTGTATACTTTAGGGCTGTGTTTGGATATACGCCAGAGGTGGCCTATGGTTATCCATAGGTACCTTTGGTTTGATATTCTATATATCAAAATATCAAACCATGGGTACCCAAAGATACCTATGGGTAACCATAGGCTGCCTTAGGCGTATATCCAAACACAGCCTTTGAAATGCTATGCCCTCTATTAAAATTATTAATATAATAACTATTTCATCGTTGGTGCACTAGACCATCGAAGAGAACAAAGTTCCAAACTAAAGTTAATCTCTGAACAAAAACAAAAAAGGTATTGATTTCTATTTTACAATTAAAGCGTATCATAACACGTCACTAAAATCAATGTTGTGTATAAATCGAATATAAGTCTCGAGAAAAACCTTCAATATCTTTTGTTAAATCAGATATAGTTGCACACATCTATATATTTATATATTTGTATAGTGGAGTATTTATATAGAGACTTAATTGTTTATGGTTAACCCACAAACCCATTTAAATTGTAATTTAATATAGACATATTTTAGCGTTGACGCAAAATATTTATATAGAATATATTCTTTAGTATATCTACCCTAGTACGTGGTTCTATAAATACATATAACATTATAAAAAATATGATTGAATTACTATTCAATAGTGAAAGTTAAATAGAATATTTGTACCATCATGGTCAATACAAGCAACATTTAGTATTATTATGTTTGCATAAAATATAATATATTCTTTTGGTTTAGTTCCATTCGACGAGAGGGCCAGTAGCTTTGGTATAAACTCTACTTTGATATTCCCCCGAGGACCAACAGTCCGCCAGCAACGATTTTGAAAAAGTACCAGTAAATGAAAATTCATAGTCGTTAGTATCATACCTGGATTTGGATGGCGATGTAAATTGAAAAGTAAAAAAAAAAAAACAAACTTTGACGATTTAAATGAATCGCAATGTATTAGTAGTAAACAAATATAGCTATAACGAATTAATGAATTTTGAAAAAAAGGTTAAGATTAATCTTTGAAAAACAACCATGCATAAAAATTAGATGGTGTACATAAAATATAGAATTCCAATTCCAATTTATTATCTATCGTACAGCATATTTATATATATATATATATATGAACAAATACTTAGAAATCCATTTGTAAATATTTTTTTAAAAATTACATATACGAAGCTTACTGACTCACGGCCGACACTCGGCTAACCGAGAGATTGGTCGGTTAATCTATATTGAGTATGCGGCTATATGGGCGGTTGGTCTGTTAATCGGGTCGGTTATACGTCTGTTAAAAGTAAAACGCACAATTTAAATGTTAAACTCTGTTAAATATACAGATTTTTGGCATATTATAAGAACCAAATAAAAATTTAAAGAAAAGTGTCTGACAAAATGGTTTCTATCATAGAACATTTTCCAGCTGTAAAAACATTTCATAGTCTGCGCAAACTTCAGTAAAGCTAAAAGGCGTCGCGCAAGTATGTGGTATTTATGCTTATACGCATAGCAATTGTTTTAATAAAAGGCGAAACAAACAATTTAAGATATCATTTAAAGGACACAAAATAGTACTTTGGTTCTAAATGATAAATTGACATTAGTAAATATTTCATAATTGTAATATAACGTGAGTAATACCACGTTTTAGTGACTATTAGGGGAATAAAGTCTGTTAATGGGTTGGACAATTAAAATTGTGTCAGTTAAGAGTTATTTAGCCACGACAATAGTTTTGCTACCTTTATAATTTCCCATTAAAAAAGTTAAGAATGAGATGTACTTGAGTAAAAAAAAAATGACAATACGGTGCAACAGTATCCTTGTAGTAAGAGCATTTTTATTTTGATTTTCTTTGCATTTTATTGAAAGGTGTGTCACTGCAATATAGCGTGATATGGATTGGCCGCTGGAATATGCATGAATTTATTATTAACGTTTTCAGTCAGCCTTGATTTTTATGTCTGTTCAAAGAAGCACGTTCAAAAATCCGACTGAAAGTATCTGTCTTATACAACACCAGGTACATATAACGTGTTGTCGTTCTCATATGGACATGCTATTTGCCACTGGACGTTAAACCCTAATTCGACAGCATCATCCAATTGGTTCTTTTGTTCTATTACTTAATCATATGTTGTTTACAAAACATTCTAAAGAAGTACTAGTAAATGGAAAGAAGCGAATGCAGCTACATTTGATTATCTTAATTTTTGATTCATTTTATTCCGTTTAGTTCCTTTCTACATAAGTGCAGAGGAGAACTGCAGTTGTGCGCTTGTAAAATTCTAGGATTTGTCACCAATTTGAGTACATCGCAATCCGTTACTGTTTCAACCACCCCCTCTCCCTGAAATTTTGTTTTGTTTGCACTTTACAATATTTACTGAGCTATCAGATTCAGCGGTTGACAGGAGGCCAATATTTATCGGACTCCAGACTCCAGTCTTAAATAACATAAAGTGATATACAGTAAACAAATTGCAAAGCATCTATATAGATATCGTTGTCTATACTATTAATTTAAAAATAAGGAGATGTGGAATAAATGCCAAAATTGTTTTAACAATCATCTTGGAGGGTCTAAATAGTAAAAAGGGGTGTTTCATGTCTGTATTCTTAAACAATTGTTATTTTTCTCTCTTTTTTTAGCAATGCATCACTCTCTACTGTCCTTATCTATTATTCTATGTTCTGCGTCTCCATCCAGATTCTCGTGTATACCATGAGGGTCCGGATTGGGGGTGTTGTTTATTTCTGTATTCTTTAAATTGTTATGTCACTTTTCTCTACATTTTATTTATTTTTCTCATTATTCTTTCTCTATTCTTTATATTTTAGCATCCCAATATATTTTACTTACTGATGTTTAGTTACATTACGACGTTTATCTCTGATATAAAAAAAGCAGATGTGGTATGATAGCCAATGATACAACTCTCCGCAAGAGACCAAAATGACACAGAAATTAACAACTAAAGGTCACCGTACGGCCTTCAACAATGAGCAAAGCCCATACCACATAGTCAGCTATAAAAGGCCCCAAAATGACAATGTAAAACAATTCAAACGAGAAAACTAACGGACTTATTTATATATTAAAAAAAAATGAACGAAAAACAAAATAATATGTAACACATAAACAAACGACAACCACTGATTTACAGGCTCCTGACTTGGGATGGGCACATACATACATAATGTGGCGGGGTTAAACATGTTAGCGGGATCCCAACCCTCCCCTAACCTGGGACAGTGGTATAATAGTACAACTAAGAACGAACTATAAAAATGATGTATATACTGGTTACCAATGTAGATGACAAATTGGTGTCATTCATAACAACGAAACATAATTCACATGATATATGCGACCATTCTTGAATGAAATTAATATTACTTTAATATTACACTTTTTGAAACCATTTTTATCAATTTCCAATTTCCATTGTCTAAATTTATGCTTCTTTGTTCATGTGTTGTTTCCGTATATTTTAGCCACTCGTCTTGAGCCTACCCATTTGATCCGATAACTCCCCATAAAGCAATCAAATTATATTTTCATTGTCATTCATAACTCTTAACATACCAAATAACAGACCGGGTTTTATACATCCGACCCATTAACAGACCAGGTTTTTAATAAAAATTGATTAATATCACCAAAATACAGATTTTCGTGTAGATTTTTCACACAATGATATTAATATGGTTAACAAACATAATGCCTGTCTGTTTTCGATGTTCAAAATATTGCATGCAAGTAAATTCAGCCAAGTTGTCATTTTGTGTACATTTTGTGTGTGTAAAATGTGTATAAATTTATTGATGAGTACCCCGCCTTTTCATTTTATTGATTGTTTATCGAAGCTAGAAAAAAAAATTACACCACTGGATTCAGTACATTGAATTGTTTTGTCAGACATGAATAATTTTTATGATAAAAAATATATTTAAAAAGTTATACAATGAAACATACTGAACTTGCAAGTATTTTCTCGATAACACCTGATTAACAGACTTTAGCCAACCCAATTAACAGACCAACCGCCGATATAGCCGCATACTCGATATAGATTAACCGACCAATCTCTCGGTTAGCCGAGTGACGGCCGTGTGACTGACACACAAAGACTTGCCATTGATCCGTGAGCACTGTTCTGTTTCTCCCTCGTAATGGTAAGGTAATCCGAAAGTAGATAGGGCATTATCCACAACAAAAAGGTCCACTAGAACCTAACTTTCAAACCAAATTCAAAAAGACAATCCAACAATGACGTCGAACTTTGGAGCAGTTTAAGAATATGTCAAATTTCTTCATTTTGTGGCTAGCATGATAATAATTATGGTCAACAACTGTTGTTTAAATACGTGCGTGTTAATGATTTTAGTATATATACTGTCATCATCTATAGTAATAACATACTAAAATATTTTATTTTTATTTTGCAGAGATATACCGAAACATTATAAGTAACTATTTTATAAAAGTAGAAGAAAAAAGACTCATTCAAGTATAAACATGTTAAAGTAAGTCAATAATACATTGACCAGAGCATTATCTACAGTTTTCCTATATAACAATGAGTTTTAGGAAATTGTTTAGGAAACGCCGTAAGAAAGATTTAGAGGATTGGTATACTGATGATTCTGATACTGAAGACCAGTCCCACTCTTGTTTTAGCCGGAATGGAAGCCTGAGAAGATCATACCGAACAAATACGGAGTTCACACGTAATGGGTCTGTGAGAAGAAGTTTGGACAATTACAAAGGTATGCTTCATTTAAATACTTTACAAAGAGGAGAACTAAAGGATTTGAGACAACAAAACGAATTCCAAACAAAAAGAGCAAATATGTCAGAAGCTATTAAACAAAACCAGCCAGACATTTTAGGACGCGATAGAGAAGATGAATATCAGAAAGAGCTGAAAAAGTTTGGAATATTATATAGTAGTCAGGAGGAGGAAAACAAGAATCTCAAAAGGGAATTGGAAAAATACAGAAAACTTTGTGATGCGTCTGAAAAAAATCTCAAGGAACAATGTAAGCGGTCCAATAGTGTTGAGAAACAGGCAAGTATAAATACAAAAAAATCAAGTGATAATAGATCCATAATAATTGTTAACTACTTCTCAAGTTATATTTCAATAGCTTCTGTAACTTTTGACGTAATAGTATATTATAATTCATAAGAAAAGACGACACCGAATACCAATAATAAATATAATATCTTGTATCAAAGCTATTTTTGATAGTTGTCTCGTATGCATTAATACCAATATCTTCATTATATACAGAAACTTAATGTTAAATACCCTCAAGTATCATGGCAGAAATTATCCTAAGTAGCCTGCAATTTCATTTTTTTACCTTATCTAATTCTTTTCCTTTTCCGTGATGACATTTAGTTCTGAAGAATATTTTTTATATTTGTTTAGTCAATAGAAATATATAGAGGTTCCTCTCATAAAAGTCTTATTGTTACATATAATGACTAACGAATTATTATCTAAAACGGGGAAAAACAAATGGAAAATTTTAATCTATACCCGAAAGAAAAACAAAGACAACATATAGGCCAACATTTTTTATTAACGAAAAGCAAAACAACAGTCCACAAAACAGTACATAGATAAATGAAGCTTGAGCAACAGGAACTGTACCAAATATGGAGATGAACTAAGCTGCTTCTGTAAAATAAACAGTTCCTGCCCCACTTGTGACATCCGTCGTCATACTTCTGTTAAAATCTGTCTCCGAGTCATAATCGACGATAAGGCACCATAGAGACTATTGATAAAGGTATCTTGTCTTAGAAATTACATTATTTAATGTTGCTAATTTAACTATAGATGATTGATGTACTGGGCCATATTACAAAGTTAGATACCACTGCATCAGTGAAAGAAAACATAGAACAACTGATTCAAGTTGTAACTACTGAGTTAAACCATCATTCCAAACTATTATCAACGATTGATGAGCGAACATTGGAGACAAGCAACGATGTCAAAAGTCTGTTGATACTTGTTCAACTTAGACCTGAAATTACCAAGAAGAAAAAAATGAAATCATTGCCGGAAGATATAAAGTCGGCTTTACAGAGACTTGCAAGTCTTATTGGTAATTATTACTATATTTAAAATAATATTGATTTAAGGATGTACACCTCTGAGGAGCCAAAAATTTCTAGAATTAAACTTTTTTTCTTAACCCGATTTTTGGGTTTATAAGATTGTCAAAAAATAAATGGTGAAGAAAAAATCATATGGTGGTGCACTTCTTTTTTTGCTACGGCCCTTTGAAAGTACCCAATTTTGATGATTTTCCCATTTTTCATCAATTTTTACCCATTTTTTGGCTATTATCGTGAAAAAAATCACAGTTCCACATTAAACTTTTTTTCATACTTTCAATAAAGATGAATTGGACCAATCTGAATAAATTTGATTTAAAAAACTATAGGTAGGTGTTAATATAAGAAAGTTTAATCATATTTTGATGCTTTTTCATGTCAACTTTACCATGCTGTCAATTTTGTAAATTTGTGATTTGTCTCTGTTTTAAGAACAAAATGCATATTATTTCAACTTCTTTGTTATAAATGATTGAAAAAATACATACCTAAGAAATTTGAAAAGAAAAAGTGATATGGAATGTACATGTTTCTGATAAAATCATTTCTTGTACCCCTCACCCTTTTTCTCAAAATTTTGGCTAAAAAGACTGACTTGATTGGTAATAAAATTTGAATAATTTATTACTCAAAAAGTCCTTATTGTAAATACACAATTTTTTCACAGAGTTAAGTTTGATTATGATATTTATTAAATTCATTGCTATTTTTCACTTGTATCACATGTTTTGGAAATAATGCCAGAACGAGATTTCAACGAGACTGAAACGTCAGAAGAATACATCCTTAAAAGTATTATTCTTGATTTGAAAAAAAACTCCAGTATTCACATATACTAATAAAATTAATGTCCTGCTTGTGTATGTAATAGAAGTTCGGACATTAAAATATATATCAAATCAGTGCTTTAACTCTATTGTATATAAAAAAAATTAAAACAAAACCTTATAAAAGTCATGCCTCCGTAGCTTTTTTCTGGATTTACATTCCCGAGGAACGCTCAAAGCCGAATATTTGAAACCCAAGTGTGTGAAAGAACAGAAACAATTGAAGCGATATATCAATTATCTCTACAGATTATAAACATTTTCTTCTAATTACATTCTTTTGATTTAGGATCTCGTTGGCTAGAACTAATACCTGTCCTTGGTCTTTCTCCTAGTTGTATTGAGCTAGGCAATAGCTCTCTTACATCATCTGAGAAATTTTGGAGAATAATTCAGTGCTGGTATAGTTCTGATCAAGAAGTGTCGCTGCGAAGCTTAAGCACAGCATGTAGAAAGATTGGAATCGACATAGTTCGAGGTAAGTTATTTATGATGTGTTTTAATGCAGTAAATGCTAGAATTATGGAAATGACTTTTTTTTGTTAATTTGAATTCCTTAGTAAATTAGTTCAATGTGCTTAAGGAATTACTTAGGTCAGGTTTATGAATTTTGTCAGATGTTCGGACTCCTTGATTTTTTTCCTACGATACAGGGTAAAATATTTTGCCCCATAACAACCATTTTTCTTTTCATATAAAACTTCAATAACACATAAAAGTTCATTAACCAAAATTTAAGCAGATTCTAGATTTCTTTTCTTTCGATTTGAGACTCAAATAATACCAATGCAAATATAAGGTAAAAGTCCGAGTCAGTTTTTCCCCGCCATTTTAAAAACAAATAAATATCTCGAAAAGGAGCTCCATAACCTATCAATATTTTTAGCTTATTTTGTTCCTTACTTATGCTCTTCTGACTTGAAGTATCAATTTTAAATTCTAGATGTTTTTAATTTAAACTAAGTACATCCTTAAATGAAAGATTTTTTAAAACAGACATACTTTTTGAGTCTTAGCGTTTTAATTGCTTATAAATAACGTTTCTGCATCAAAGTTGACATGATCGTTTGTCGTCCTTGACAAAAAAAATGGTTACCGTAACAGTTGTTTAAAGGTTTTTATTGTTATACACTTTTATTCAAATCTAACATAGATATAACCTATGTATTAAGATGCGTGATGCGTCACTTGTAAGATGTTTGGCTCTGTGTATGACAAATGATATGAAATATAAAATGGACTATCTAAAATCAAAAATGACATCCTTAACTTATTTTCATTGAGTTCAGGAACTGTAGATTACAGATTTCTAAAGATTCCATTACCAAAGCAACACCTGCTTTGACTGTTTGCCTAAACTTTTCTTCAATAAAAATAATTAGAAAAAGCTTAATATTTATTTGCCTCTTAAAAGTTGTATATGATTAGGATAGTGCTTTTTTCTTTTTATTGGTTTTGAAGTCCCTATGCGCATTTAACTTACAAAATTTGACACAATTTAGAACCAATAGTACGCCATTGTCCTTAAACATGGATTTTTGAATAGTATTATAACCAACAAATTGCATTGTCCATCTTATTGTCCCGAGATGGGATCATGTAGCCAATGAAAATTGTTTCTTTTTAGTACTCTTTTCACTTGCATAAAAACAATTAGCAACACTCACTTTGCAGTCAAGTTAAATAAAAAAAAGGCTATTTTTAATGTTTTTATGTCGGGGGATAATATTATAAAAAATTCAGTATGATTGTTTAAGTGAAGTTTGAAATATTTGATGAACAAATTATAACCTACACTTTTTAAAATTGTCCCTATAGCATCCATCGACCATTACAATGTATAAACATTCTGTTGTCGCCATGGCTTTGGATGATACTCATAGTGTAGCAAAAGTTCTATTCAATATACCACAAGCAAGAACAAATGCATACACAAGGTTTGGTGTTTTGCAAAGTATTGGAATAAAGTGAAAATTTCTATTAAATCGAAATTTTATCCTTTGATATCGTTGTAAAATAAGTGTCAATATATTTTCATCATAATGTTAAAATACAAAATTTTGAAGTCGGATATAATTTAATTGAAAAGTATTTACAGTAGGACCTAAAGTACTGATGTATATTTATAGATAAGCCAATGCCAAAGCACCACCAAAGAATCCTTCAGAGACAAACACAGGGACTAATCAATGATATCATAGACGTACAGCATGTGGTTCCATACCTACAGACACATTTAGTTATGTCACCATATATGATAGAATATATTTACTCAGGTGAAAACAGAAGTCATCGAATATTGAGAATGTTAGATGCTCTAGCTATTCTTGGTGAGAACGCACTTCCTAGCTTTGTTAAAGCTCTTGGAGAATCTGGTCATGGTCATTTGGCAGAAAACTTTAAAGGTAGCTATGTAAATTAATAAGGATAATCTTTCCGTTTTTGCAGATTTCGATACAACACTGTTTTGTCTTACCGAGCAATTTAAAAAGTGAACGAAAAAAAAAATTTCACAGCAACAAACAACAACCACTGTATTACAGGCTTTTGACTTGGGACAGGCACATACAGAATGTGGCGGGGTTAAACTTGTATGAAGGCACCAACCCTTCCCTAACCTGGGACAGTGGAGTAACAGTACAACACAAGAACAAGCTCTAAAAAGCCTGTGTCGCTCACCTAGGTCTATGTGCATAATCAGCAATGGACTCTCTCCAACATTGTAGATAAGAATAGAGTTCATAACAAAGAATTCTTTTTTGTTGATCTTGTATTGCTGATCATTTTGTTTGTTTAGGATCTTTCTATCTTCTTTAGTTTTTGCTCAAAACACAAAAGAGGATAAAAAAATCCTTATTTAAGGAGCAAACACTCCTATGAAGAGTGACAGTCTACTAACTATATCAGCAAACTTTGACTTATTTGTGGATGTTGCCTTGCTGATCGGTTTTGTTATTTAGAGTTTCTATGTATCTATTGTATCTTTTATCATATGGAGCAAAATGCTAAAAAATTGTAAAAATCGTCACTAAAGGGCAGTAACTTAAATAAGGAGTCGTCAGAAAATTTCCTCCGATGGTCTTAAATGTAGATCTTGTCTTGCTAATCATTTTTGCTTATTTAAGTTTCTATCTACAAAAAATATATCTATTATGATTTTTAAGATATAAGGCAAAAACGCAAAAAATTGGTAAAAATTGTCCTTTAAGAAAGGGCAATAACTCCTATAAGAAGTCGCCTGACAATTTTGTTGTCATAAACAGTTGGTAGAGCTCAACATTCTGAACATTTTCGCCTTGTCAGAATTTCTCAAATTTAACAGTTTTCAAAATAATAGAAAAAACTTGCATTTTACCCCTATGTTCTATTTTTAGCCATGTCAGCCATATTGATTGGCGGGTGGGATCATCGGACACATTTTTAAACTAGATACCCCAAGAATGATTGTGTCCAAGTTTGGTTACATTTTGCTCAGTAGTATCAGAGGAGAAGATTTTTGTAAAAGACAACGACGACGACAGACGACGACGAACGCCAAGTGATGATAAAAGCTTACTTGGCCTTTCGGCCAGGTGAGCTAAAAATCAGTTGAAAAAGGCTTAACTCATCAGATGGATACAAATAGAATTACATCTAACAAAAACACAGAGTTGACATGGCAGGGTACTAATACATCCCCACAACAAAAAGACAGATCTGAGAGTACTCGCAGTTACTGACAGCTAGTTCAAAGCCAATAACAACTAATGATAAAAAAGCAAACCATTATTTGTCAAAGTCGTAACATGTATTTATAATACCTTTTTGTGACTTACTATTATATAGATTCTAATATAATTATCTTTTTTAAATATCCTTGAGCTGAGTCTTTCAGGAAAAGGAAAAGAAAACTCACATCAACTACTTTAATTATCTTTTAAGTTTATTAAATTATTCCAATTTCACTGAAATGCAAGAACAGTTTTTTTCAGTCCAGAGTGATAATCTGTAGTTCAATATTGCTTTCTATGCCCTTATTTCCGATTAATTCTGCAAATTGTATGACATTTCAGTTTTGAAAAAGGAAATTAAACCCGAACATTATAATATCAACAAAAAAAAAAACCCAGATATTTAACAATTTATACAACACTTTCTTTAAATTGATACTTTTCTATATTTTTATTGTTAGAGAGTTTAGTTTCCTAATCTAAAGTTAAAACTTGAAGTTAAAAAACATTCTTTAATAAGAGATCCAATTTGTTTCTCACGAGATCAAATTTGGCCTCTTTATCTAGTTATTTTGTTTTAAATTAAAAATCGCATTGCATTTTTACATATCCGCTTATCTAGCTTGATCCGCTAGTTTATTATATTAAAACCATTTGACCAACAAGACTCATTTCGACACAAGAAAAAATATATGAAATCTTTAATTCATTTTTATTACAGATTGCTTTGAGAATGTGGCGACAGATGATAAAATGCCAATACCATTTAAAGTCAAAAGCCAGTATTTTGAAAATGATTCGAACTACAACTCACTACCTATAGACATACAGGAATTTGCAACAATGAAAACCAAAGTTTCGTTATGCTATGCACATATGTTAAAAGATGAAGAAAGATCAAATGAAATTTGAAGAAAGATATTAATTATTAAGTTATTGAAAATGTACTTGGTTTATTTCAAAAGTGTAAATATAAATTGTAAAGTGATATTGCTTCCATGTATTTGTTTATATTTGTTTAAATTCTGTTAATCAAGATTGTGATCAATTTTAGTCATCTTTTCATTTTCATATTCATAAAAAATTATCAAAGATACCAGGCTTATGATTTTGTACGCCAGACGCCAGACTCACCAGTGGCGCTCAAATAGAAACAGTTAAAAGACAATATAAAGTACGAACATTTAGCACATTGAATATGACTGAAACACAGGCACACTTCCATTTAGATATATATTTAAGTTGGATGCACTTCGAATTTTGTTGTTTTATTTTGTAAACTCATAAGCTGATGTAAGCTATTTCATTTGAAAGAAGTGTCCTGCGCACTGGAGTATGTATGATGCTAATATTAGACCTTTTACTATAGCATTATATAATAGCAACTACAATGTAAGATTTATTCCCTTCATTACCGTCTGGCTACTAAGACTTCAATACAAAACTATTATTGCCCTTGCAATGATGACAATGCGACTTACAATGTGTTTTTAAATACAGGTGTAAACCCACTTGAGCTGCTTTCTTGTAAGGAACCATTAACAGAACACTTGAAATTACCCAATATCGACAGCTGATAATACAGTATGCCCGAGCTGTGTGACAGTTCACGCGCTTCTTACATGCTATGCAAAGGAAAATATACTTAAGGGATGTTCACAGATTGAAAATCATATTTGCAAAATGGTTTATTTTAACTTCTGCTTATATAATCATATACTGTACGGGAGGTACCATTTTTTGTCTTTCCAAATGAGGATGAAATTAAGGACATATAAACCACAAGACGACAACATATTATTACTAAACTTCAACATCTGACTTTGAGAAGTCAAAGCTTCATGAAGGTTAAGTCATACATGCACATTAAACACAAGAAAAGCTTTACCTATGATTACGATTGGAGGGATACCAGTGCTGTTGGACTGACGCTGCCCCAAGGAAACCTTCACTCACTACTCAAAAGAAAGGAACAATTCACGACCTACTAAATACTTTTTTCAAAGTTCACGTTTAAACAATAACTTAAATTTACAAGAACTATGTTTTGAACAGTCGAAGATGTTATTTTCCTTTATTTGTTTGTTCCAATTGTTTAATATGACCCCAGTAAATTGTTTATTCATGTGTTGATGTCCTGTCGTTTGCTGTGAGTGTTCTTGAGTAATCCAAATATTTACAACGAACAATAAGCGACCACTGAACGTTTTACTTTTAATGAAATCTATATGATCTAATTGCTTTACCGATATCCATATCTAGTGAAGGAAAATAACATTTAATATCATTATCTATAGAAAATAACAAAGTTTGTTTCTTTCTTCATCTCTGCAACTGTATCATAAACATTAACTCCATTGTTTTTCTTAAGTAAAACGCGATTATTTTTTTTTCTGTTTTGCACTTCTATTTCAAAGGAAATCTTTTTATTTGTTTATAAAAGGGGAACAACTTAACCCCCCCCCCCCCTTTTTCTCACAAACACACATCATTTGTGATCATCTCTGATTTTTTGTCGAGTATGTGTCGCTGAACCGTTAGTTTTGTGGACTCTTTATGTATTCGGTTTATTATGTTTAAGTCATAAGCGCCACTTGTTTGAGGTAGCTTGTGCCCTGCTTATGTGTAGAATACGTACATATTATATATATCTAAAAGAGGGGAGAAAGATACCAAAGGGACATTCAACTAGTTTCTATTTCTAATTGAAAGAAACACGAATTTGATTATATTGGAAACCACCTCGTACTATCAAAAATCCGCATACACATATTTATTAGAGAGGGGTGAAAGATACTATTAGGACATTCAAACTCATAAGCCGAAAACAAACTGGCAACGCCATGGCTAAAAAACAAAACAAAAAACAACAGACAAACAATAATACACAAAACACAACATAGAGAACTAAAAACTGGGCAACACGAACCCCATCAAAAACTAGGGATGATCGCAGGTGCTCTGGAAGGATAAGCAGATCCTCCTCCACATGTGCCACCTGTTGTGTTACTCGTGTTAGTACAAACTAGTACAACTTGATACAATCCGTCGCTAAAGGACTATTAGTCTTCGAATATTTGTTTGTACCATTTGTCCTTAACTATTGATTTTACCCCAATAAGGACCCCCGGTAGAATTTTGTTATTTTCTCATATTTTGTAGATCTTTTTATGCTGAATCCAAAAATGCAAAGAAAAAAGGGGGTCACCAGGCTCGTTTTCCCCTCAAATGGAGGCGAAATGTGCGATTTTGACCCTATTTTCAAACATTTCCACCCTTTCAACAATAACGGCTCCATCAAATTCAGAGACTTTTGAAACCAAGTCAGTATGATTATTATGTGAAAAAAACATTAAAATTTGAAATGTAAACGTCTCCCTTGGTTGTTTTAGACTTAAATATCCTTTTATTTTCAGATTTATGTCTATATTTTGCATTTTCTAATTTCAGTTTAAGGCTTAAAATATTGTTGAAATCGATTTTTCGTAAAATTTCCCCGGTAGATTTTTGTTAAAAACAGATATGTCAAAGCTATGAATTTTTCGAGCATTTGAAGGTAAAATAAAATGGGGGTCACCAGGCTTTTAAAAAAGTTACGGGCTTTTGTTTAACCCCTCTACCCCATGAGGTCTGATTTCAATGCACTCCATTAATTACTTTGTTGTGAATTCTTTATTGATGGCTTTAATAAAATAATGTTTGTAATTATATCAATGGACGATAGCTGAATATAAATGAGATTAACACATTACTGTTTGTTATAAAAAAGCGAAATTTCGATTATTTTGGTGAAATACGGTAATTTTGTCTGGCGCGAGTTGCTTCCCTCTAGTTTGGCGCCATAATCGGACAACAGAAATTTCAAGGTCGCCATTGTTGAGCAGCATACTGAACCGGTGAATACGACCATGTACATGCATAACAGACATAGTGACGAATAGACAACGATGAAGGTAGAGTCTTTACATAAGAAAACATAGATTTTAATGTATTAGGCAGCCACCCAGCAAACAATTCAACATTTTAAAAACGTTTTAAAAATGTTTTGTTTTGGTTTCTAGAATGTTTTATTAAAACGTTTTAAAAACCAAAATTTGTAGACTCTTATAAATGTTTCAAAAACATTTTGAAGAAACGTTATTTGGAACATTCAGAAAACGTTGAAATAAGGTTTTATGAAAAACGTTTCTGTCAACCTCCAACAAACATTTTCAACACATTTGTGTAACAATGATGCATTAGTGCGACCACCATTACTTTGGTTTAAAAATATATAATTGATTGTGCAGTGTTTTGTATTTCATCCATTTCTTAATTGGTAATGCACGTGTTTAGTTGAAGAAAAAGCAACATCTCCATAAGCTTGGATGGATGGTTGGTTGTTTAACGACCAGTGGCAAGTCAGATGCATATTCTGGATGAGAACATGATTATTAGAAATTAATACCCTGCCTTGTAATAGAAAAAAGTAAAATCACAAAAATACTGAACTACGAGGAAAATTCAAAAAGGAAAGTCCATAATCAAATGGCAAAAACCAAGTTCAAACACATCAAACGAATGGATAACAACTGTCATATTCCTGACTTGGTACAGGCATTTTCTTATGTAGAAAATGGTGGACCAACATAGACATAGACCAACATGTTGTGCCAGATTTTTTGGTTCTAGCCTACAAGGCAAGTTTGCAGGAAGACATGTCACATTATTCTGACTACGGGCCAAGAAGTCTTTGCTCTAACACATTTTGTGGAGAAGCAACAAATAATAATTTTATTGTCATTGGTTTGACCGGGCCGAAGTTCTAACCCACGACCTCCGCACTTGAGGCGACCACACTCACCATTTCACCAAAGCTCTGAAGGAAGATATTCTTTATAAAAACAACTATGCCAAAGCAAAGCTTGTCAACCTCTAACTGTTTAAACTTGGTCCTGTGACCTTGAAAGTCAAATCAATAAGGTTCTTGCATTGACAAGGAGATAACATATCTCTAAAACCGAGAATTTGACAAATTACCATAATAACTTCAATCAATGATCTAGTTTATAACCAAAGCTTTAATTGTTGCAGAAATTGGAATATAGTTTTATAAACATCTTTAAATACTTTGCAACAAAAAAAAAAACAGTATTGACAGGACTAAAATCAGTAGAATCAAGTACTTTTAAACAGATTTATTTGTTCAGACTCTAATTCTTCTTGCAATATCATCAGTCCTTTTCTTACAGGTTTCTGAAATGATAAAAAGCAATTTGTTAAGAATATCAGTACTCCCAAGTACCCTGTTTAGCATATAACTCTTAACCCTAGTTAGTTGTTGTACTCCCTTTTAATCAAGCTATTTCATTAAATCTATAAAGGGGACATTAGGATATTTTTTGCAATCCAAGTAATTATTAAGATAGGCAAAAAACATAAATAATATTTACATGTCAAAAGCAATTGCTACAAATGTAAATCTCAATGTTTTACTTGCAGGTTAAAGACAATAATTCCATCCTCAAGAACATAACAATGTATTATTCTATTGTCTCTAAATAAACAGTTGTTCTGCATGGTTGGCAAATGTCATATTGCTATAAATGACTCAGAAATTTGTGTATAGATATTCAAATTGCAAAAATAAACTTTTAAATAAATAAAACCTTCCACTTAAATGTATATTTTATTCTATTCAATTGAAAAATACCTTATATTTTGGTCCTCATGGCTTGTGTGGGGCCTGTTTTAGGAATTAAGACCTCCTCCATATCGGCAACCTTGGATTTTGGGAACACTCTTGCACAACTTTCTGAAAAAGTATTACAGAGTTAAAAAGATATATTTCATTATTTTTTTTAACTTCCTTAAACTTTTATATATATATATATAATAACTTTATGTAACTTTGCACTCTGTTTCTATCAAAAATAATAAGTGAGAAACATTATATTCATATTCATCATATGAATTCTTTTTGAGATTAAAGTCAGATAAAAAATCCAATCTATATTAATGGCACTTGCTTTTAAATGTTCGACATATTTTCTTAATCAACTTACTCATGATTATTCTGCACAAAGGGTGACCTGTGAATGCCTCTTTTCCCTTTTGTCCCTTCAGACTGTATTTGGCCCATAACTGATTAGTGCCACACCTTTTTCATCATCCTTCCTATACAGTTTGAAGGGCTGTGACCACCCTGTGACACCAAATACTGGACCTACAAAATTACAATTTAGTCCTGTTGTTATTTATTTTTCGTGAAATCAAATATTTGTTTTATAAATAATCGTGTCCATGAACCAATCTTAGCAAAACCTACAAATATTATTGCCTAAAAGATATTTTATTTCTTGTCCGAGTCTTATCGAGTTTCTATAATGATTTTTCATGTATCGCTGTGTATACTTTATATGCAATTGTATATGCATTTGAATGTTTGTCTTCAATTACAGGTTTATTCTGTTAATGCTTTGTTAATGCCAAATTTTTTTTCCATATATATAGCATGTTTCGCTTATATATATTTACTTTAAATTAATATATATTATCTTTAACTGTTAAAATCTACTTTGACCTTATCTCGGTAGATTGTTCTGTGGTTACATTATAAACTTTTACACATCTATTTATTTGAAAGGATTTTCCCAACGTAAATGAGCCGTGGTAATCAACACTGGTCGTATATGAATTTCTTTAATTTGATGATATTACACCTGGTGTTTCCGATGTCATATTTCAGGTCAAGTTCGACCAAGGCCGTTCATCCTCGTCAGGTGTCCTTGCGTTATATTTTTATTTACTATAACATTTGATTATAATTACTTTTTAACTGTTATCAATATGTTTCTATCGTGTAACGTATCAAATGCAGTTACATTTTGCGGTATACTGAATTGTTCATGACTGGCAAGTTACAATCAATTTTAGTCAGTGTTAGTCAGACATAAGATATTTTGTAAAATGAGGCCCAGCACTGGCAGCACGGCTATGGGTAGTCCAAACAAAAATGACGTCTTGAAAGGATATTTTTTATTTTTGCTGTTGCTACGAAGTTGGAGGAGGGAGTCCACATTTTGTTTTATCAAATAAGAAAGCCGTACAAAACATCATTATTATTTGACTACGCTCTGGGTAGTTTAAATGATTAATTATGCTGTCTTCGGAGGCTTAATTTTATTTTACTCGTGTAAAAGTCAGACCAGTAGCCCATGAGGCATGTATGTACTGGTAAATTCCTCCGATATCCGAAGAACCCCTTGAGAGCTGCGAGGGTACAGTGGAATCCATGTACACTCCCTATCGGGATTAATGGAGATGTGTCACTAACGTATTTACAAAGTTCAATATTTACAAGGACAATCCCCACCCCAACACCAGGGAGTGTTAGGACACCGGGCATGGCAAATTGACACGTGATGGCATCATGCAGTGGTGAATGTGAATTTATGCCTGTAGTAGTTAAATCTGTTAATCATGTAAATAGACTCATGCAAATCATACGAATGTCATGGAGAAAATAATGCAGTAATTTGTCTCAATTTCTACAAAATACATCGACTGATTAATGATTTTATACATACCTCTTAGACTAAACGCTATTCTGTAGAACTACTCTTCTAGCATGTCTCGTTGTTTTCCCAATTTAAAAAAGGCGGTGAGAGTATCCGGAAGTTTGGAACAAATTTTATCTAATGAAGAATTCTGCTTTAATACAAATTATTGTCGTAAATAATACAGTTTCTCAATTAAAATATCTATCTTCGAATATGATAATACTTTAGAAATGCGATAAAGGGAAATATAGAAATAAAATACGAAACTAACTAATAAGTTACAACTGGTTCCCGGTTCTACAGAAAAGAAACCAGTTATTAGACTACAAGAACTTTTTTTTGACATATCATATCATCATATCGACAGATCGAAGATGACTTTTTGTAGATTAAAAATTGAAAGTAATTATTAAAAACAAAAATATTGCGGTGATATGGGAAACATGATTTATAAAGTTTTTCTATACTTATTAAAAAACATTTTTGAAACATTATTAAAAAACAAAATTAAAAACGTTGTTTTAAAATGTATTATTTATGTTCATCAAAAACATTTTTGAAAAAATGTTTTTTTTTACGTTTAAAAAATGTTTGCAGAAACATTTCTACTATAGTTATAGAAAACGTTTCAATTTAACCTTTTAAAAACATTTCTTAAACGTTTTTTCGACACTAACTTATTTGAAACCTTTAAAAAACGTTTCTAAAATGTTCTGTGTTTGGTGGGCAAATGTTATCAGTATCACGAAAAATACAAAGTGGGGGGTTGTCTCAAAATCATATAAGGCTCAAAATACTCGCTACTGTAGAAAATCACTCCGGCTGAAACCTTGCATGGGCTAAATTTCTGTTCGATGTATAATCATTATAGATAACTTGCTTCCGTTGTGAACATGTATAGCCTGATTTGAAAAATATCCGTGTCAAACAGTCTAAGAGATCGAGGGGATGGCACAGGCACTTGTTTCTATCAATGGAAGGGTTTACTATCCACACTCGTACGAAAGAGACAGAAACATTCAAACAAGTGCCTGTGGGGGATAGACATTTACTATGAAGCATCACAAATTCCCTTTTGCGCTACCGTTAGCGTCAAATGAGTCTTGATTTGTCATTCATAAAATCTAATTTTCGTAGCCACGTTAGGTTCAAATGGAGTAAAATATTTATTGTTAACGTCTAATGAGTAATTTGGGGGAACCCTATAACTTCCCTCAGACAGGGGTCCATTAGTACAAATAATTATGACGTCTTGCAAGGCTATTTAAATTTTTTTTCTGTGACGTCTTCCTAGGAAGCATCACAGAAAAAAATTAAAAATAGCCTTGCAAGACGTCATAATTATTTGGACTAGGGTCCATGATTCCCACTCCCTATCCCCAACTCCCATTTCCCTTCCCTTTTACTCTAAAATTTTCTCCCCTTCTACTTCCACCTCCTTGCTCCCAGACAAAAAAATGGCAAAATATATTCATCCCCCCCCCCTTTTTTTGAATTCTTGTCCTTTCACCCTAAATCATGTTTGCTCCAATTCACATTCAACCTTTTACATTTGCTCCCAAAACATTCCCAATTCCCACCCTGGGTCTGTTTGTACCCTTCCTTTTTTTTAAATCGTGCTTTAGTTAGTATAGTTCTATAACATGATAAAATAAAGATATATTGAGTTTATTTTATTGTTGAAAAATAAAGTGACTCACACGAGATCAAAGGGTACAGGCTGTTCAAACAATTATCTGGTCTTTTCTATTTATAATCTTCATAAGATTTAATTACTTCTACCAAACTAGTTACTTTTATTTTCACATTAGACCAGTCTAACTAACAGACCCGATACCCCCTTTTCCCACTTCCTGATCCCTCATTTCCATGTTCCCTTACCCCTGTCCACCCCCTCAATTGGTTCGATTGTTTTGTTTGTTTTCTTGAGAATATAAATGGCCTAATTTGTAAATTAAAACCCCTACAGTAGGAGGCAATACATTTTATTGATGGATTAATCTTGATCACAATTTGTTTACAATAACAACAACCCCCCTCCTCCCCCGTCTCTCTTTGGTATAAAAATTTCATAAGGTCAAGTATCAGGTTTAAACATAAATGTACATGTTTACCAAATAATACATTTGAGTTGAAAATTCATTATTGTTTTGTGCTTAGTATTTTTAAATACAAAATTTGTGTGTTCCATATATTCCAAACAGGGTACAAGACACCTCAGCATAATTTGGTTGACGAGGAGTACAAATGTAGTTTAGCTGCATTTCAGAATTTTAAGGCAGAGAAATAACTTGTCCCTGGCAGCTTAACAGCATGACCCGGGAAGTCTGTATTCATTGTTAATCAACATATAAAAACAAAATCACTATTTACACTTGCTGTGCATGTAATTTTATTTTGTTTGCTCATTATATAATTATTGATCGCCACAAATTCTTTATTTTTTACGCTGTAGCAGAGGGGGCATTAAGTTTTACCCTTGGTTTCCGTTCTCTAACTTTAAACAAAATGTTTTGAAATTTATACACAATGCTTATTACCAACAAACACAGATCAAGTTTGAATTTTTGTGGTGTCACTTTAACTGTTTTACAGTTATGCCCCTTTACAAATGGAAAAATTGCTGAATTTTTCGTTTCCCTTCGCTAACTTTAGTTTGCCTCATTTAATGCAAATGTTATGAAACTTATACACAATACTTATTACAACAAAACTCAGATCAAGTACAAAATGCAAGCGGGGGCTTCATCTGTGTCCCATGGACACATTCCCCATTTATTGAAAATATGAACTACATAAATTTCAATCATGGTTGATTTTCTGACAGAATTACTCTGACATTTAATTTCAGGCTTCAAATACATGTAAGAGGAAGGAGTGATTTTTTGTGAAAGACCCTTGAATGTTCAACTTTACTTGGAAACTATTGGCAAAGTACTGACAGAATTTACACGAGAAGCCAGTATCATCTTGTCTTGCAATTGGGAACAATATATATGTAAAGTGCTGAAACTTAAGAACAACATTAGAAGCCCTGATCAACAATACTTGGAACTACATGTATAATCAAAGTACTGTCAGAATCCATATGAGAACCCAAGATCATCTACACTTGGTGTCTACATGTACAATGTATATGTGTTGTCAGAATCCACTTAAAAAGCCAAGATCAACTATGATTTGGAACTATATGCTTTAGTACTGTCAAAATCCATAAAAAAATCCAAGATCAAAAGGACGTACTTTACCTACCTGTCCCAATGATGAATACAGATTATATTGAGTCTTATAAAAAAACACTGAAGAAGAATATTGATATAAAAATAATGAAAATATGGAGCTGATCAGCTAATGATTGTACATGTGCATGATGTATACATGTCAACAATTACTAGCATATTGAAATTAACAATGTTAATAAATGTTTTATAAATTTGATCTCATAGACATTTGAGGAATAAAAATCAAAAATGTTTAAAAAAATGAATTTTAATAGAGCTGATTTATTTTTTTGATTTTTTTTTGCTGCAAACATGATTCATGATATATATATATATATATATATATATATATATATGCAAATGGCAATATATGCAGTTGTCTTTAATACAGAAGGTAGCTAATGAGATTTGTAAATTTTGGAAGCAGTTGTGGTAAATGCACATGCCTTTACCTCATGTTTTACCTGACAACCCCTGACCTACAACATGTAAATGGCCACTTGAATTATTTTACATCATTTGGCATTTGTTGTTCATTCATCATGTTCATATGCTATTCAGTTTCTATTTCAAAAGTTATATTTTCTGGATAAAAGGAGAAATAAAATACAGTTTTGTTCAATGAGACAGCACCAAACAAAACAACCAAAAGAATTATATATTGTCTGGGAAAACTTGTGTCTCACTATTAACTGACAACATTTTTACCTACCGGTACTGTAAATTCAGAAATTATTGCGTGCAATTATTATTGCCATTTTTGACGCATGGACTAAATTGCGAGTTTAATTATTGCGATTACAAAAAAAATCTGCATAATGATCTGTTATTCAGTTATCAGAATGCGAGTTATTATTGCGATATTCACCCTGTATCATTATTTGCATTAATAAAAACCTCACAATAATTTCTAAATTTACAGTATCACAATGATCCAGATTAATATTGTTTTGTAAATTTAGATATGCACTCAAATTGATACAGATTGCTACAAAGATCTCAACCTCATTTCATGGATCAGTGATCAAGGTTAAAGTTACCTGATTAGGGTTGTTTATCAGATACTGTTAGCAATAGGTCATTTGTCAATGTCATGTTTTTGTGTTTTTGTCTGTTTTTTTATAATACTAAAAGTACATGTAGTAGATAAACTATATGTATGCAATGATTCACAAATGTAAGGAGTACATGTCTGTCTGTCATTTGTCATTGACCACATTTGCATGGTTCATTGGTCAATGGTAAGTCCTCTTTTAAAATGCTACATTGTGTAATCAATAGATTATTATATTTGGTATGATTATTAAATGTATATATTAAAATATTAAGTAAAAAGATGTGATATGAGTGTAAATGAGACACTCCACAAGAGACCAAATAACACAGAAATAAACAAATGTCACCATACAACCTTCAACAATGAGTAAAACCTATACTGCATAGTTGGGTTTAAAAGGCCTTCAAATGAGAAAACTAGATGCATGATTTATGTACAAAATAATGAATGAAAAACAAATATGCCTGTCTTGTAGGGTCTATCTGAACTTAACCTCATGTTCATAGTTGTGTCTGCTACTGGCATACTATATATATGTTTCAAAATATTTGGTTGATGGGGTGATTGTCACAGAGGCGGATTTAGGGGAGGGCCCATTGGTTGATTATATGGGGAATCACTGAAGCATGACTGGAGCAGGCCTCTCTTAGGCAGTCACCCCCCCCCCCCCCCCCCCCTTTTCATGAAAAATTCTGGTTCCGCCACTGTGTAAGGCTGGCTTGGATTGGTTTATCTGATCATTTTCATGATCATTGATAATATTAATTAGGGCCCGCCAAATGGCAGACGCCCTATAGTGATCAGTCTGTCCGTCCGTAACAAATTGTGTCCGCTCTATATCTAGAGAACCGTTATGATTTCAAAGTTTATACTTGACATGTATATTAACCAACACCAGAGGGTGTGTCATAATGTATGAACAACTTCCTAGGTCAAAGGTCAAGGTCAAAAACTTTGGTTTTCGTTGACAACCCCATATCCTTTGGTAAAGGTCGTGTCCGCTCTATTTCTTGAGAACCGTTATGATTTCAAAGTTTATACTTGATATGTATATAAACCAACACCAGAGGGTGTGTCATAATTTATGTACAACTTCTTAGGTCAAAGGTCAAGGTCAAAAACTTTGGTTTCAGTTGACAACCCCATGTCCAATGATAAAGATACACATTTTTTACCACACATTATTCACAGCAGGCCCACACAGATG